CTGCGTGCGAAGATTTTCATTTGGAAGAAAATAGTAAGTCTCTGTGGGATTCCGCTGTGTGCGATTCTTCTTCTTGGAATCAGGCTTTTGCAAATAGAGATATGTTCTTCTCAAATTCGTTAAATCATGTCGTTATTACCCAATCAAAACGCCTCATTCCAGTCAGGTGAACGAGTTATGAACACAATGAAACACGAGTTGAAAACCACACATGCTTGGAAAACGATTTCAAACCCGTGAGCAAAATGTATTTTTAATCTGCATATTCACAGAGTAAGACCAACAAATGAAGATGAAGAGCTTTAATTTTTGAATCACATAGAGTTACAATACTCTTTAAAGCAAGCTTATTTACTGCTGACATTGAATGTAACGGTACAGTTGTCAAAGTCCCAAAAACAGAAAGAGCTATTCTTTTCTAAATTTAATTATCCCTCATTGATTGCGACCTTGTCTTTCGGTTCGGTTTCAACCTTGTTTGTACACTTCGGCTCTAAAATGGCACTTACATGGGAAACTCGACTTTCTCCTCCAGTTTTATGTACTTTTACGGACTTCGGAATAGCGCTGGTCACACAAGTTTCCTCTTCTTCAATAGTTTTTGGAGGTCTAAATTTGTACTCTTCCATCTGTATTGAGAAGTAACGTGCTTGCTCAGAAGTCACAAACAGCGAGGTAACAATGCGGAATTAAATGCAAGTGAAATAATATCACAGATCAGCAAGCAGCAATTAGGTGGCAGGTTCACATATCACGTCTCAAACAAAATATTTGAATTCAGAAAACTTATTAAAATGATAATTTCTACTTATTTGCTTTGTTGGAGAAGTAATTTTAAAACCTCATGTTTCGGATTTCATCAAGTTTCTAAACGTTCGAAAACAATAAAACCACTCGGCCTGCGGCTTCATGGGTTGAAATGTTTTCTCGCGTTTGGAAACTTGATGAGATCCTCGCTCTTGTCTCTGAAGTAGTATAGAATAGTATAGTATAGAAAACGCATAGAATTTTGATTTTAAGCAGCAGTTTATTATTATCTCAAAACGTAACATAAATGCGTGCTTTGCCAAACAATATCCAGATTACACCACAGGAAGTAAGTTCCCACTCTAAAATGTGCCCTGCTACCGACATGTGGCCAAGTAGCTCTATTGGTAGTAACACCCACCCTGTGAGGCACAGCTTCGAATCGCGTGAAAGCCTGAAGGGTTCTTTTCCGCAAATACTTAAATTGCAGGTCACCTGCAAGGATGATTGCCAAATTAACCTTCAGATTTTTAATGACTACGTGTTCAGTGCAAAAACTCCGTGTGATATACCCGACTCCTAACCTTATACCTAAATAGAAGCAACTATTTAGTTTAATTAGTCATAGCGACAAAGGTTTAATACACGTATATACCGTGTCGGTGGACGATGTCTGTTGAACTGTGAAAGTTCTGTTCAATATCGAAAGCTGATAAGCGTTTAAATTCAAACTTTGAGTCTCTTTGCGATATTTATTCTGTCACGTACTGTAAACCAAGAGATAAGACTAGGTTAATATATTAGGTGGGTGCATAGACTGAGTGTCAGGATTTACCTCAACAGATTGAGACATTCCTCTGAGACAGTGATGATAATATCGATAGCAAAAGATGTATCATTAGCAAGAAAGCTGCAGGAAAGTGAAAAATGGCTTTAAGATACTGATTAAATTGTAATATCTTTATTGCTGGCGAATGATAAGAACCTTAATTTAGTTCCTGCGAGATGTAAATGAACCAAGAATGTGGGTACCAAGTTCCATATTCGTGCTTTGCCGAGGTGCGTTCCTAGACGCCGAAAGGATCAAAGATCTCAGAGCTGGTTACAGAATGGTTGTTATTTTCCGTTGTTTATACTAAAAGGTAATATTATAAGCTATACACCCTCTACTCATATTCGCTTTGGCTCAGGGAGGCTCAGTTGATGTCACGAAAATTGATGTTAAAAACAACAAAATATCTTAATTCTATTATTAGTTACAATAACTGACTCAATTTATCATTCTTTAATTGCTTTTAAGGTTTGGTGGATTCTCAACGGACTTGTACAACTTGAGTTTTTATCTTTTTTAATAAGTATTTTTTTTAACTTGTGACCAAGCGAACGAGCGAGAATCTTTTACCAATGCAAGGAGACGAAATAGAAGTTCAAAGCGGAGATGTGGTTTATTCGTGTTTATTATATAAATATTGAAAAAATATTTCATATTTCTAAAGCACCAAATTAGCCAGTCGACCTGACGTGGAAACCCCGCCTAATACTGGAAATGCTTCTTTTAAATAAAAAAAATCGTTCTGCTATAAACGAAGTTAAATTCATGATTCAGAGTAATTCTTGTAAAAAAAAAAAAGGAATCCTGCGCGACAACTGAAAGTGTTAAGTCTATTTACTGGTTACCATGACAACAAAAAATATGCCATCGCGTCTGAAAAATACTTAAGTGTGATCATTGTCAGTATTGAAGATATCGTCTCACAGACATTAGATGTTCGACTGATAGTAATGAATATCAGTGTTATATAATGTTCTTAACCTATTTTGATATTTATTAGATAAGTATATAAACAACCCCTGATATGTGGACTTCATGAAGCAAAGGACAACAAGCAAAGGCTAAAGGTAAACACAGTAAGTGATATTTGTTCTTTAATTATTTCAAAATCTGCTTTCTGCAATCATTGTCAGTTAAATAGAACATCTCACTTTTGTTGTGAAACTTGTATGGGTAGTTTCAGTTTCGAAAGATTTGGCGAAAAGTTTGACTAAATTGTAAAAACGGACAAAGTTCTGTAATGCCAACAATTCTGCAGACAATTTTGAATTCCGGAGTGAAGAAGGAAATTTTTAGAGAAACTTTAAAATTAAAAAGGTTGAGGTGTTCGTTGTTAGAAGTTATAGAAACTGGTCATTTGCCTTAGGCGTCAACGACGAAAACCATGGATCGAGAAAAATTATAATTTCACTAAGAGATCTTTAACTCGCTCAGAGCCGATTTATCTTTTGATGCAACCCTTTGGAAGGCAGTGGTTGAACAGCTCGATGAAAAGTGTAGCGACATTGTTAAGGAAAATCAAAGGTCGATTTGGTCTGCTCCCTTTGCAGCAAGGCGTTAATTGTTTACTAGTTGTTCTGATTTTTAGACTATCCAAGAGGTTTTAAGCGCTTCTGCAATATTATAGTATGGTTCATGGCTAACATGACTTAGAAGGTGTCGCTCTCAAAGTACTTTTGTATTGTAATAGAGAACTGAAGTTATTCATGGAGTTAGATGTCCTTAATGGGACTTTACAGATCAAATCAAATGAGCTGTTGGTCTCGCTATTTTTCTCTAAGAAGTGAAACTGGTTCAAATTAAAATCTCCAATTACAATTTCAAAAGAAAGGAATTACTTCCAAACGTATGTTTTTCTCTTCATGTTCTATTTCCATCTGCAAGAACTGTTGCAGCGATACAAAGGGATTTAAACACGCAAACTATCGTTAAAGGAGTGCCTTAGTCGTGTTTTTTTTTTTTTTTGTAATGGCGTGTCTTCGCAACTGACTCATTGAGAGGAGAGCAAAACCAATTAATGCCTTATTAATTTCGATAGTCAACTGAAAATTTCCTTGCTTATTATGTATTTGCAATTATAAACTTGTATCTTCGTCAAGGAAGAAATTCCCACACTGAAATGTTCTTATCACATATTGTTGTTCCTCAAGCTTGCTATATATACTGCATATATATACTATACTATATATATATATACTGCAGAGATGTTACTAGTGCTCTTGCTGTCGACATTTAGTGCAGTATCAAGTCAAGACTGTCCACCATGTGAGTAAATGTTAAATCTGAATTACAATCAAAAAATGATAAACGTTTCTACTAAAAACTCAGGGCCACAGTTGGGACTGGAAAAAGAAAAACTGGTTTGTGAATGCATTAGGTGTCCTATTCATACCGATGCATACTATTTCTGAAAGGGTAATCGATTTTTATTAGCGTATGTAAGGTTTTACTTTTATTCTCTTATCATATGTCCTACTTCTTCAAAAGATTTCAATTTATGCAAGTGCTTTAAATTTTTTTAGGTGTTTTCCAATAATGTTAATGTTTGGGACCTTATTTAGTATTTTCTACCCATGTACGTGTTTTGTTACCATTGAAAATATAATGTTTTGATTTTTAACGATGTGATTTTCCTTTTATTAAACATCATAATGAGGCGAATATCAGTGAGTATCAAAAGTTTCCGTAATCTTGTCGGCAGATAGTTGCTTGGTGATACATTCAGTTCCTTCCTAGCCTTTTCATTTGCGTAAATCATTTAACAATTAATTTGAAGAACATACATTTTTTATCAATTGCTTACAGTCAGTATTTCATTTTATCTCTATATTGCAGTGGCAGAGGATGAACACTTTAGCTATGGAAAGACTAAAGGAGACGGTACTTCTTTCAGTGTAATCTTGTTTTTTTCTAGGGATGTGTTTCTTGGCCACGGCCATGTCTGTCTCGCAGATTTATACCCCACTCTCCCAATGAATGTTTTAAACTGAGTCCTTATATCAGCAGCATTAATGAATTTATATTTTTATTGTACTTTACCACGAGGAATAGTCAGAACCCTTTTTTAGACGATATCAGCAAAGCTATTTTGTGATAGTTTACTCTTTGGTTCAAAATTTAATCTGGAAGATTTAAGGGACCATAATCTCTTTTTTTTTTTTAACTTACTAATGAGGCATTTCGAGGGACACGTTTTTTTCTTTAATTGACGATATCATGTTATCCCTTGAGCCTTCTATCTAATGATGATCTTGTTGATTCATATAAATAAGATGGAACTGAAATCAAAGCTTAATTTCTCGGTATAGTGCCTGGTCCTCCGGATTGGCACAAGAAATGGGAAGAATGCGGACATAGTCGCCAGTCCCCAATCAACATTGACAAGAGTGAGACCAAACATAAAGATTTCCCAACTCTGAAAATGACCTTTGACAACCCAAGAGGCCTGGTTACTGGAACACTAAAGAACAATGGTCATGCTCCGACTCTGGAAATTGATGAGGACAAAGGAACAGCAACACTTGAAGGAGGTGCCAAGGATGGTACTTACACTCTGAAACAGTTCCATGTTCACTTTGGCTGTAAAAACAATCGAGGATCTGAGCACACGGAAAATGGAAAACGTTATTCTGGGCAGGTAATGAAACTTTAAAATGGATGTATGGATTTCTAGTCAAAAGTGAACTTATCTTGAACTTCTCTCGATCATGACACTTCTTATTTTACCTTGTGAAAATGCCTTACCCATGCGATCAGCATTCGGTCAAGTCCATATGCCTTAGGCTTAAGTGTTACAAATCTAGGGCGTAACTGTAACTAAGCCAAAAAGGCTAGAGGAGGTTATGGATGGCTAAAACTGTAATACGTTGAAAGCACGAAATTTAGTGCAATTTTTTGTTAAAATCAAGCTTAAAACTCTTAAGTTGAAGGTAAATGTTGAAATGATACATTAGGCTGGAACTAAGAAATCCTCTTTCTTCTCCTTCTTTTTCCAGCTCCATTTGGTATTCAAGGATGCTAGTGGCGAGGTTTCCGTTGTTGCTCTGTGGCTCAAGGTATATTGTGTCAATATAGCATTGTACGCATGCTCCGATCAATTGCCAACCGTTGTTCGGAAGGAGCAAAGGCAGGACTGAAACGGCAGAAATAAAATCTGAAATTTAAAAACACTATCTGCTCGCTTGAGCTATACCAGCTCTTAATATTAGGGAAGACAATCTCCCGAGCCTGAGGATTATAAAATTAGTGTTTGATTTGCTAAAAAAAATAAGGATTAGGAACGCCTAAGGCCAAGAAAAATAAAAACAAAGAGATCTAAATGATCTACAGACTACATATATCTGTAAAATTGATCGGTCAAGTTTGGAAGGTAATTTTGATATAAGGTAAGATTATGGTTTATACAAAATGTGTAAAATGTGTTTTTATTTGAATTGTTTCTTGAAGAAGCAAAATAAGGTGGGTGGGTTATATGTGAGTGTACAGTTTTAAAAGTTACTCGAAGAAGCAGCAGCTGACCAACGCTCTTGTCGTTCTATCTAGGCCTCTAGTAAAGGTAACAAGATATTAGGAAGGTTTGCCAAATTGCTACCAAAAATAATTGAAGTTGGTAAGTAACATTTCTGTATATCCATTGAATTCCGAAAAATGGCGATTTTAATTTCTCATCATGGCTAGACGTTCTGAAACGCACGATTTTCGTATATTCATATGCTATCGATCAGCTTATCATGTCTCCTTTATCTAGTTAGCATTATACTTACAAAATTCGACTAACCGATAGCTCTTCATTTAAATCTCATTTTGCCCATGACGTCCTCACACCTTGCCGTCATCTTAGACATTAACATCGACTTTCTTCCTCTCACACGATCACTGAAAAGACTTCCACTCCATATGAGCTTTTAAATTCAAAACTGCAACCCCTATTAGGAATCTTTTTTGCACCTATACTCGTCGAATCAATCGCTTTTTGCTACATTTTTCTTTTCTGGCCGAATGTCATCCTGTTTGAGTTTGAGCATTCTGTAGAACACCGTAGAGGGAGAACGTCTTTTCCTACTTGTGAACGAATCCTGATAACCCCAGAAAACATGAAGAGAATAAAAAAGCTATGAAATTTTTCATTTCAGATACAGACACACCGGTGGATGAGTCTGACAAAATTCGCCTTATGGACCTTATTCCAAACAAAAATTATCATCGTGGAGACAACGGAAACGGCAACGGAAATGACAACGGAAACGGAAACGGAAATGGCAATGGCAATGGCAACGGCAAGGGCAATGGTAACGGTAACGGTAACGGTAACGGTAATGGCAACGGAAACGGCAATGGCAATGGAAACGGAAACGGAAATGGCAATGGCAACGGCAATGGCAATGGCAATGGCAATGGCAACGGCAATGGCAATGGCAACGGTAACGGTAACGGTAATGGCAACGGAAACGGCAACGGCAATGGCAATGGAAACGGAAACGGCAATGGCAATGGAAACGGCAATGGCAATGGCAATGGCAACGGCAACGGCAATGGCAACGGCAATGGCAACGGCAATGGCAACGGCAAAGACAACGGAAACGGTTTGCATAAGTATCCAAAAGATGATAAGGTCCTAATACTGTCAGACTATTATCATTACAAAGGTTCTCTCACCACTCCTCCCTGCTGTGAAACTGTGATGTGGTATGTCTTGAAACCCAAAGTTCCTATATCGAACTATCAGGTAATTATAAATTAAAAATGCACATTGGCGTATCTTGTATTTTGATGAGCTAATAATTCGTTTACAATAAGCCCTCTGTTGGGTTTTACGTCGATATTTTGCATAGACAGTTCTCTTCTTTTTCCTAAAGCCTTATTATGAAAATTCAGTCACACCAAGGAAATACCTCCAATTTCAAGTTGCCTTTCACCACCTCTTTGGAGCCCAAAATCCTTTAAAAAAAATTCCATATTATTTCCCCGGTGCATTGAATTAACAACTGGGGTTTACTTCCACATTTTTTAGGTCCTGGTTTACCAACTAGATAAAAACGACAAAAAACATACACTTTTAACTCGTGGATACACGTAGCGTAGAAACGAGTTGTTGTGGGCACTTTAGGGACATGAAAATTGCGTGGACTCTTCGTAATCTCTCCTTCCGAAGAAGTCCGCAGTCCTGACATCATTGTGATTGCATCGATCGTTGCGATTTTTATTGTCTTTACATGGCTGTTTCGAAATTTACTAAATTGAGATGGACTTCGAATTTTTCAGATTAGTGTTATGATCAACTTAAAGACCAAATTTGAAGTTGTTTTGATCACTCGACGATCTTTTTCTCTCAAAACACACGACGGCTTCCTATTTCAAGGAATGCTTTTCCTATTAATTTTTATGGCATCCGTGTAAAAAAATACAAGCATATGCGTGTATTGAAAAACAAAAGGGAAATTCAAAACTACAGGAAATTGCGAGTAATCGGCCTCTTCTGCTACACGCGGGTTTTTTTTGGTGTTACATGCGTGTGTTTCCCATAAGTTAAAAGCACTTCACGCACGTGGGAATGCTGCAATCACGATATAAGCAGTGCAAAGTAGAATGTCAACCTGGTGTGATTATGTACGATATTTTGCTTCATCACTGTTTGTCATTTCTACCACTTAAATATTGATTCAGAGAGGGGGGGAGGGGGGGAAGTAAAAGTCAAAATTCCTAGGCTGGATAGGGTCCCATTTTCATGACTACGTTGAATTTTATGGCGTTGCATTTTTTTTGCTATTTTCAATAGAGTTACTAGAATGGGGTTACACATTTTTGAGATTTTAGGCGTAAGAAAATTAAGGTATTAATTCATAAAGAGGAAGATTCATGGTAAAAAAGTTGTTACCGTATTTTAATTTTTAATAAATGGCTCCCATTCCATTCCGGTCGGACAAAGATGGGGTCTATAATTGGCCACAATACAGCAGAGGTTCTAAGAAGCCAGCTACCCATACCCAGCAAAAAATTACCCATGTATCCCCCCTTGGGGGGGTTTCCAACACATACTCGAGTGCTATAATTTCTATACTTGCAATGGTTCCACTTTCTATCTTTTTTTAACTCCTTAGTTTATTGATAGCAACTTTACAAGTACATATCTCTTGAATACTTTATCCACGAGTTGGTCACAGGCGCCCTTTGATTTCTATTTGTAAACTCAGATTGAGCGGTTGTTATACGAAGATGTTTTTTTTAATTTATAGCTCAAACTGTTCAGGAAGTTGAAAGGTGAATACCCAAGAAAGCCTCCGAAAATGTGTGACAACTACAGACCATTACAGCCGTTGAACGACCGCAAGGTTTGGTTTGTCAAAAACAAGAAAGACTGATATGGAACGTTCCACTCTATCAAGGCCTAGATTGACTGACTGACTCCGAGTACCTGAAATTTGACTCGCCACGACCAATCCTTTAATTTACTTAATCTGCATATAATTTTTTGGCATTTTCACGATTGCATTAAGGGTAGATGGGAGGGGGTAAAAAATTTCTCTTCTCGCGCGTGCTGTGTTGTTAGATCAAAACAGCTAAAAGGCTATTATTTGAAGCCAGGGCAACTTAGAGTTCGCGGTCTGTTGTAAGTTTTGTATTTTCCGGAACGTTCTTTGTAGACACAACTGTATCGCAATGGTTGAATTTGAAATAAAGCACTCAAGTTTCTTCTGCTAAGTCGTTGAAAAATTCCAGCAGGGCTGAAGGATTTTGTGGTGTAATACTTAAACCTCTAGGGCGCCAAATCACTTTGTAGTGGGAAAGAAATATCTGGCCTCACCCTTTTTCTCCTTAGTTAGATAGCGCCGCTCATAATCCTTATTCGGATTTAAGCTGACGACTGACTTTTATTAAACTTTGTCCAGACCCTCATCTGAGAAGGCGTTACAACAGAAGAAATGTATAGTATGGGGGTAGTCAATATTTAATGATACTTGGAGAAACTCCTACAATAATAATGTTTTGCACCAGGTCAATAGAAATTGGTTTTCCTAAAATGTACGTATTGTTTGCCTTTAGAATTTAAGAGGGAAAGTAATCTTTTTCTATCGTTTACATAAGGGGTAACAGGAAAACCTTTGTAAAATTTTGCAGTGAATAAATGGTAGTAACAACATGAAAATGCTCTCACAAGTCCTTATTTTCCCGGGTTTAAAATGTCAGTTTCTACGACACATGTCATACCACCAGCGCATCACGATTCCTACTAAATCCCGTTTGTTAAACCAAACTTTACTGATCACAGGTAATCAGGACGGCATGGTAATTAGAGCAAGGCGAAATAAGAGATTTTAAAAGCAGGAAAATATCTCCGTTCGAGCCTTTTCAAACTTTGTATGGAACTTAGAATAGGCACATGCTCTGTTAATAGACAAACCATTATCATTTAACCAAGGAATTTAAAATCCACGCATATTTACACCATTGCACTGCCTTCTCTCAAATCGCATGATTCCTTAATTAAGTACTTTTAAAAACATCCACACAACCCACAGTCCTCTCCTTCGCTTTGGTGGAAGGCGAACTTTTGAAATGTCAGCTGTTCAAAATGTATTACTGTAGTCTGTCTGCGCCTGTCACAAGCGAAAGGAGCTGAATATAGGTCCCTATTTCTTTTTTAAATTGTTTTTATACAGGCTTTAGTTAAAATTTCTATAATAAAACTTTACAGTCTTATCAGGTCAAAAACATTAAATATGATTTCATCTTACTTTAGTGAAGTATTTCAAGATTTTGCCAGATGTCAATTCCATAGCTAACATTTCAGACGCGTAACTAGTTTTAAGAACGAGTCAACTGGCCACCATATATACCACAAGTGCCTGAGGTTAGGTCTTTAGTAATAAAAACAAGTGATTTTTTGATTGTCTAGAGTCAGAGAGTCTCATGAGAAGTTTGAAAATTTCATGTGCACCATGGCTTAATTGCATAAACTTATCTAACGACTTAGGGACTAAACATCCCTACATCACCTTTTTCAGCCAAATTTAAAACATGAGGCATTATCTCTTGAGTTTGGAAGCTCTTATTATGAAGAAATAAACAATATCAATTTCAGCTCTCACATATTGAGTTTCAGCTTATAAGAGACATTTATTTAACTTAACAATATAGAACTCACTTATTTATAACAATGATTGCCGACCGAAAAAGTCGATCTAGAATCTATTTAAGATATGATACATGTTGATACTAGTTTTTAGATAAAGAAATCAGTTTGTTTAGGGAAAAAAAGACAAAAGAAATTCTGTGATCAGAAATGATCCTCGTCGTCTGAAATTAAATATCTGCGCACTTTATGATCTCAAATATTAGTAGAACTGGATAAAATATAAAACTGTAGGGGAAATATCATTTTTGTAATTACATAATCTAGCCATGGTAAGAAAGCAAGGAAGGTGCCAAATAAAACATTCAGTACGTTTTTGCGAATCAATGTGGAAATAACTTTCAAATATAAGAGAAAAAACGAACAAACGACAAGAAAGTGGGTAAAATTAGAAAATAAATGAAAGAAAAAACCCTTACAGCTGAAGAGGACACATTGTAACCGCACCACGTCCAAAGTGATTGGGCGATGAGGGCAAAGTATCGGTTGGTATTCAAAATATTGAAATGCAAGCTCTAATATTGGGAAATGATGGCGGCATTACTAATATTTGCAGAACTCAAGTAAGTCCTTGTATTCCAGTAATGATACCAGTATAATACTTTGACGATAGTACACGTAATGACAAATAGAGATAATGATAAAGCTGACAAAGATAAAAGCAAGTGAACACGAAAACCAACACATCTGACGAAGTGAGAACCGAGCTTTCAGGCACGTTGTTGTACTAAGATAATAAAAAGACTCTAAATAGAACTTGGACATTTGCCCTTCATTATTATTGCCGGTGGAGTGCTTACATCGTATACCGGAAGGAACTAGCTACCGAATTGCTTTAACGCGATTCTTATGTTGGGATCTTTATTCAAAACATACAATATACATTTTTTTTTTAAAGTGATGTTCATCAAGATTATGGAAACTGAAAGCAGACAAGTATGTCTGCTATTACAAAAGTATCTACCATTTTAAAGCAATTTTCTTTGGGATTGATAAAAATTATATATATTTTCTCTTTGCCGTTCCTAAATAAAATTATTTCTGAAAATGAGAATAAAAAAGAGTAACACCAAAACTAATCAAAAAACAAAGTTAACAAATAAGTTATATAAGTACCGGCCACTTCTTAGGTTTCTTAACTTACCGATAGAATATTTTACATTTCCTCCAGTATTTTCGCGAATATAATTTCTGTTGAGTCTCTAGCTCTTTTGTTTCAGTCAACAATCAATATAAAATCTCATAAATATCACGCTACTGAAAATCATTATCACGTGTTGGTGTTTGTACATTTTAATACCCCATGATAAGCGTATAAATATCCCTGATCTCTAGAATTCGCAGGACGTTCCAAAGACGGGCTAGGAAGCTTAACCCTTCAGGAAAGGCCAAAAACGAACCTCGGTAAGTAATAGACTTTTCTTTACGAAAACGGATTTATTTCATGATTGTCAATGATGGATCTTTTGTTTTTCCTATGCCGTCATATTCGAGTTCTTGCAAAGACTTTCAATGTTTTGCGAAAAAAGTTTAAGAAACCTCGAGAATATGTTTCATATTAAAATAAGGAACCTTAAGCTAAACTACAACGGCGACAGCAACGAGAACGCGGCAAAACAAAGATGTAACTAGCAGAACAGTAGCTCAGCACGCACGTTTTTAAGGAAAACTTTGTGCATTTTTTAGCTGTCCTCTGCAAAACAATAACTTGAAATCGCCAAAATTTGCGTCATCCACCAACAGAAACCGCGACGGTAAATTATTTAAACTTCCATTTGGAACTCAATGCTGCTTGCTTACCTAATGCTGAGGTTGACAGTAAGATGCGTTAAATACATGCAGCCATTTGCGAAATTCTCACTAAAAATGGAAATAGTTTTTAATCGACGTCTTCCTCGGCGTTGCTGTCCTACCTGTTGGCAATGAAATTATAACAAGAAAACTGTCGAGCTTTTTCTAAAGCTCGTTTCTATTGAGTGCTGCAAAATTAAAGTCACAATAAGCCAATTGGTTGCAGATAGATATCACTAGGAACTAACCAGAACTTAGAGGAATACACGCAAACTGCATGTAGTTGGAGGAGTGCCCTAGTCGTGATTAGTTTTTGTAATGGAGGGTCTTCGCAGCTGACTCATTGGGAGGAAAGTAGAGCAAATTCAATGCCTTATTACTTTCGAGAATGTATTCACAAGTAATACTCGTATCTTATTCAAAGAGGCAACTCCCACACTGAAATGTTGCGATCACTTTGTTGTTCTTCCTCAAGCTTGCTATATAGGCAGCTGCGCAGCAATAGAAAGTTTTACGTGCCAGTGTGCAAGACTGATCGTCTTAAAAAATCTTTTATTGTTAGTCATAGCCTAAGTATGTAAATGAATTTGTTTAAGTATGTATATTTTCCTAACACAAGGTTATCCTATGTGAAATGTTTTTATTAGATTGTACATTTCTATTATTATGGTTTTTTAAGTCCATTTTAATTATAACTTGTATATTATACACGTAATTCAGTCTTCGGACTGCGAGGTGTTTCTTTTTTAATAAACGATTTACTACTATATATACTGCAGAGATGTTACTGGTGCTACTTCTGTCCATGTTTAGTGCAGTATCAAGTCAAGATTGTCCACCAGGTGAGTAAACCTTAAATCTGAGTTACAAATAAATGATAAACACTTCCACTAAAAACTCAGTTTAGGGCAACAACTGGGACTGGAAAAAGAACAACTGGATTGTGTGTGCATTAGGCGTCCTATTTATACCAATACATACCATTTCTGAAAGGGTTTTCAATTTTTAAAAGCGTATGTAAGATTTTACTGTTATTCTTAAGTGCTTTATATTTTTGAAGTGTTTTCCAATTATGTTAATATTTGGGAAGTTATTTAGTATTTTCTACCCACGTACGTTATTTGTTACTAATGCAAATATGATTTTTTGATTTTTGAAGGTGTGTTTTGCCTTTGAACCACCATACTGAGACGAATATCTCTGAGTATTCAAGTTTTCCACAATCTTGTCGGCAGATAGTTGTTATGTTGATACATTCAATTCCTTCCTAGCCTTATCATTAGCGTTAAATAATTAAACAATTAATTAGAAGAACATACATTCTTTATCAAGCGTTTACAATCAGTACCTCATTTCGTCGCTTTATTGCAGTGCCAGAGGAAGAACACTTTAGCTACGGAAAGACTAAAGGAGACGGTACTTCTCTTTTGTGTGTTATTTTTTTCTTTAGAAATGTGTTTCTTGGCCACAGGCATGCATGTATGTCTCGCAGATTTCTACCCCACTCTCCCAATGAATGTTTTAAACTGAGTCCTTATATCAACAGCATTGATGCATTTATATTTTTATTGTGCTTTACTACGAGGAATGGTCAGAACCCCTTTTCAAACGATATTAGTAAAACTATTTTGTAATAGTTTACTCTTTGGTTCGATCTTTAATCTGGAAGATTTAAGGGACCATAATCTCGTTTGTGTGTAAACTTACCAATGAGGCATTTCGAGGGATGTTTTTTCTCTAATTGACGATGTCATGTTATCGCTTTAGCCTTCTATCTAGTGATACTCTTGTTGATTCATATAAATAAGATGAAACCGAAAACAAAGCTTAATTTCTCCGTAGTGCCTGGTCCTCCAGATTGGCACAAGAAATGGGAACAATGCGGATATAGTCAACAATCCCCAATCAACATTGACAAGAGCGAGGCCGAACACACAGATTTCCCAACTCTGAAAATAATATTTGACAACCCAGGAGGCCTGGTTACTGGAACACTAAAGAACAATGGTCATAATCCGACTCTGGAAATTGATGAGGACAAAGGAACAGGAACACTTGAGGGAGGTGCCGTGGATGGTACTTACACTCTGGAACAGTTTCATGTTCACTTTGGCTGTGAAAACAATCGAGGATCTGAGCACACGGAAAGTGGAAAACGTTATTCTGGGCAGGTAATGGGTTTCTTTGTCAAAAGCAGACCTATCTTGAAGTGTTCCCAATCATGGCGCTGTCCTTTTATTTTCCCTAGTTATTTTTAGAATGTCTAACGCAATTAACATTCGGTCAAGCCGCATAAACCCTAGGTTTAAGTGTTACAAATCTAGGACGTAATTATAATTCAGCCAAAAAGGCCAGAAGAGGTTGTGGATGGCAAAGATTGCAATGCGTTGGAAGAACGAAGTTAAGCGCAATGTTTTGCTAATATCAAGCTGAAACTTTTAAGTTGAACGTGAGGGTTGAAGTGATACATGAGGCCGTAACTAAGACAGCCTTTTTCTTCTTCTTCTTCTTTTTCCAGCTCCATTTGGTATTTAAGGATGCTGCTGGGGAGACTAGCGTTGTTGCACTGTGGCTTAAGGTATATTGTCCTCTATGTACGCATACTCCAATCAATTGGCAGCCACTGTTTGGGAGGTCTTTGTAAAACGGCAGAAATAGAATCTGAAAGTGAAAAAAAACTCTAAATATGTTCGCTTGAGCTGTACCAGCACTCCAAATTAGAACCCTTTCCCAGATAATTTTAAAAAAAGATAAGATGACTCATTTAACGTCAAATACATGAGACCTACATGATGTGTAAACTACACCTATAAGTAAAATTGATTGTTCAAGTTTTGAAGGTAATTATGACATAAAGTAAGAGTATGGTTCATACAGAATGTGTAAAATGTGTTTTATTTGAATTCTTTCTTGAAGAAGCAAAATAAAGTGGGTGGGTTATATGTGAGTGTACAGTTTTAAAAGTTACTCGAAGAAGCAGCAGCTGACTAACGCTCTTGTCGTTTTATCTAGGCCTCTAGTAAAGGTAACAAGATATTGGGAAGGTTTGCCAAATTGCTACCAAAAATAATTGAAGTTGGTAAGTAACATTTCTATATATTCACTTCATTCCGATAAGCTGCAATTTCAATTTCTCATCATAGCTGGACGCTCTGAAACGCACGTCTTTCGTACATTCATATGCTATCGATCAACTCATCATATTACCTTTATCTAGTTAGCATTATACTTTCAAAAATTCGATTGACTAACAGCTCTTCATTTAAATCTCATTATGGCCATGACTTCCTCACATCTTGCCTTCATCTCAGACATGAACATCGACTATTTTCCTTTTCAGGACTAACTTCCTCTCACTTTCACTCCATATCAGCCCTTGAATTCAACAGTTGTAATCTTTCTTACGAATTTTTTTTGCATGTCGACTCGTCGAATCCATCGCTTTTTGCTTCATTTTCTTTTCTGGCTCAGTATCATCCTGTTTGAGTTTGAACATTCTGCAGAACACCTTAGAGGAAGAACTTGTTTTCTCACCTGCGAGCGAACCCTGATAGCCCTAGAAAACATAGAAAAGAAAAGGATATGGATTTTTTTTTTCAGGTAACGAGACGGCAGTAGATGAGTCGCACAAAATTCGTCTTATGGAGCTTATACCTAACAAAAATTATCAACATGGAGACAACGGCAACGGCAACGGCAACGGCAACGGCAACGGCAACGGCAACGGCAACGGTAACGGTAACGGAAACGGAAACGGAAATGGCAACGGAAATGGTTACGGAAACGGCAATGGCAACGGCAATGGCAATGGCAACGGCAATGGCAATGGCAATGGCAATGGCAATGGCAACGGCAACGGCAACGGCAACGGAAACGGAAACAGAAACGACAACGGAAACGGTAATGGCAACGGAAACGGAAACGGTTTGCATAAGTATCCAAAGGATGATAAGGTCCTAATACTGTCAGACTATTATCACTACAAAGGTTCTCTCACCACTCCTCCCTGCTGTGAAACTGTGATGTGGTATGTCTTGAAACCCAAAGTTCCTATATCAAACTATCAGGTAATCATAAAATAAAAATGCACGCTAGCGCATTTTAAAGCTCGGTTCAGACCGCACAAACTTTTCCATTCTTACTAAGTGAAGGCAAATTTGAGCGGAAACAGCATTACAAGCTACTATAAGTGAACGCAAAGAAATGATAACTATAAGTTATTTAGAGACGCCTAAAACTTTGCGTATATTTGAAGTGATTGTTCCTCCCTCGGTTATTTGCAAATTTTCATACATCTTATATTTTGATAAGCTGATACTTCGCACTCAGTTGGATTTTAAGACGTTATTTTGCATAGAAAGTGTTTTTTTCCCCCAAATCCTTGTTATAAAAATTCAGTCACACGAAGAGAACACCCAAAATCTTTTTAAAAACTTCCATATCATATCACCGGTGAGTGGAACACCTGGGCATTATTTCCATATCTTGAGGACTTGGTTTACTTACGTGGTAAAAACGACAAAAAAAGAGATATCGTTTTTTTGTAAACCCAGATTAAGCGGTTGTTATACGAATATATTGTTTTTAATTCATAGCTCAAACAGTTCAGGAAGTTGATGGGTGATCACCCAAGAGAGCCTCCGAAAATGTGTGACAACTACAGACCATTACAGCCGCTGAACGACCGCAAGGTTTGGTCCGTCAAAAACAAGAAAGACTGATATGGAACGTTCCACTCTAACAAGTCCAGGATTGACTGACTGACACTGAGTACCTGAAATGTTACTCGCCACGGCCAATCCTTTAATTTACTTATTCTACACAGAAATTTTGGTATTTTCACGATTGAATCAAGGATGAAGGGGAGGGGGTGAGAATTTCTCTTCTTGTGCATACTCTGTTGTTAAATCAAAACAGCTAAAAGGTTATTATCATGAAACCAGAGCAGCTTAGAGTTCGCGGTCTGTTATAAGTTTTATATTGTCCGGAACGTTCTTTGTAGACACAACTGCATCGCAATGGTTCAATTTGAAATAAAGCTCTCAAGTTTCTTTTAATAAGTCGTTGAAAATTCCAGCGGGGCAAAAGGAATTTGTGGTTTAATGCTTAAACCTCTAAGGCGCCAAATCACTGTGTAGTTGGGAAGAAATACCTAACCCCACCCTTTTTCTCCTAAGTTAGATAGCGCCACTCATAATCCTTCTTCAGATTTGAGCTGACGACTGACTTTGATTAAACTCGGTTCAGACCCTCATCTAAGAAGGCATGTTAAAACATAAGAAATGTATGGCATAGTGAGTAGTCGCTAGTTAATGATATTAAGGGAAGCGCTCACAATAATAATGTTTTGCACCTGGTCATTAGAAATTGGTTTACATAAAATATACAGATTGTTTGCCTTAAGAAAATAAGAGGAAAAATAACCTTTTTCTATGTTTATATAAAGGGTAACAGGAAAACCTATGTAAAATTTTGCAACAAATAAATGGTAGCAACAACATGAAAACACTGTCACAAGTCCTTATTTCCCCATGTTTTAAATGTCAGTTTCTACGACACATGTCATACCACCAGTGCATCACGATTCCAACTGAATACCGTAAGTTAAACCAAACTATACTGATCACAGTTAATCAGGACGGCGATGGTAATTAGAACGTGGAGAAACAAAAGATTTCATAAGCAGCAAAATATCTCCGCTCGAGCCTTTTCAAACTTTGTATGAAAACTTATCACGTGCTCTGGGAAGGGAAAAACCATTAGGTGAGGAATTTAAAATCCATGCACGCTGCACCACTGCACTGCTTTCTCTCAGAGAGCATGATTCCTTAGTTAAGTACTTTTAACTTGAAACCACCCAAAAAACCCACAGTCCTCTCCTTTGCTCCAGTGGAAGGCGAACTTTTGAAATGCCAGCTGTTCAAAATCTATTACGGCAGTCTATCTACGCCTGTCACAAGCGAAAGGAGCTAAATATAGGTCCCTATTTCTTTCTTAAATCGTTGTCTACAATGTCTACAATGAAACTTTACAGCCTTATCAGGTCAAAAACATTATTTCATCTTACTTGAGTGAAGTGTTTCAAGATTTTGCCTCTTGGTAATTCTATGGCTAGCATTTCAGAGGCGTACTAGTTTTAAGAGCGAGTCAAGTGGCCACAGAATATACCACAAGTGCCTGAAGTTAGGTCTACAATAATAACAAAAAGTGATTTTTTTAATTTCTAGAGTCAGATAGTCTGATGAGAATTGAATTTTAAAAATTTCATGTGCACCGTGGCTCAATTGCTCAAACCTACCTTACGACTGAGGAACTAAATATCCTGACATCCCCGTTTTCAGCAAAATTTCAAACAAGTCATTTCTCTTGAGTTTGGAAGGTCTAGTATTGTAATGAAATAAACAATATTTCTGCTCTCACATATTGAATTTCAGCTCGTAAGAGACATTTATCTAACTTTACAATGTAAAAGCCACTTATTTATAACAATGATGGCCGACTGAAAAAGTCGATCGAGAATCTAATTAATACTCATTTCCAACAAAGTCAGAAAATGTGGATTTTAGTTTTTAGATAAAGAAGTCAATTTGCGTGGGAAAAAAGACAAAATAAATTATATAATGAGAAATGATTCTCGTCGTCTGAAATTAAATATCTGCGTAATTGATTATCTCAAATATTTGTAGATCTGAAATAAAATATTAAAGTGCAGTGGAAATATCATTTTTGCAATTGTATAATCGAGCCATCGCAAGAAAGTTAGGATGGTGCTAAACAAAACATTAAGTGCGTTTTTGCGAATCTATGTGCAAACAATTTTCAAATAGAAGAGAAAAAACGAACAAACAACAAGAGAGTGGAGAAGATTAGTAAATAAAAAAAACCATTGGTAAAAATAGAAAAACCATCACGGATGATTGAGCGACGAGGGCAAAGAGGCGGTTGCTTCTCAAAATATTGAAATGCAAGCTCTGATATTGGGAAATGCTAGCGGCATGACCAATATTTGCAGAACCCACGTAAGTTCTTGTATTCCAGAAATGATACTAGTATAATACTTTTGATGATAGTACACGTAATGATAAATAGAGATGATGATAAAGCTGACAAATTAAAGATAAAAGCAAGTGAACACGAAAACCTACACATCTGGAGAAATGGGAAGCGAGCTTTCAGGCACGTTATTGTACTAAGATAATAAAAAGACTTTAAATTGAGCATGGACATTTGCCCTTCGTTATTATTGCAAGTGAAGTCTTTATATCTTATAACGGAAGCAACAAGCTAAATTAGCGCGGTTCATATGTTATGGGATCTTCATACAAAACATACAAGATACTTTTTTTTTTCAAGTGGTGGTCATCAAGATTATGAAAACTGCCGTCCCTAAATAGAACACCAAAACTAATCGAAAAACAAAGTTAAAGAAAAGTTATTTAAGTACCGGCCACTTTCGAAATTCCGTAAGTGCTGATAAAATATTTTACCTTTCCTCAAGTATTTTCGATAACATTATTTCTGTTAAGTCTCTAGCTCTTTTGTTTCATTCAAGAATCAATATAAAATCCCATAAGTATCACACTGACGTGGTGATGTTTGCATATTTTAATATCCCAAAAAAGAAAAATACTCCTTAAATGTGAGGTTTGTAAAGAGAGATTATGAAATGTGATTATGTGGCTTCCTAGCTTTTTTAGCTTGGACGCGTATGGTTCAGGGTTTTGAAGGCCGATGCTAAATACACGAATGATTTCAAGAAAATGTGTGACAACTACAGACCACTGTAAGATATGTAAGACCGCAAGGTTTGGTCCGATAATTCTCACTAGAACAGTTATTTTAATTTTATATTTAGTTTTAAGACTGTAAAAATATGAAAATTATTTGTATGTGAACTGAGAATATCTGCGAAGATCGCTTTCATACTGATATATTTAGTTTGTTAGTCAGTGTGCTATTCTGTGTAATTTTAAAACTGAATAAAATGGTATAAAAACTCATCAATTCGTCAAAATCCACTCTTCTATGTGGTTTCATAAATTTCGTTGAGGCAAAGCCTATGAAAAAATAGCTAATTAAATATTGAATAAAAACGGGCGCAGAATCTGCCTCACCAAAACGACCTAATTTAACATTTCTTTTGACTGCCGTTCTGAAAGTCGAATTTCATTTAAAACTCGACTGAGTGAATCACAGAATAACTTAACAGGGCTCATGACCAAGGGACTTGTACTATAACCAAAAATTCTCAAGTTTCCTCCATTAATGGACTTTTCTTCTCGAACAGATTAAATCTGTTTTAGTCTGAGGCTTTGGCATTCGCTAGCAACGATAGTTTTGAAAATAGTTGGTAAAAGAGTAAAAAAATTCCATCTACGCGATAGACTCGTGTGGGTTTATCCACATTTCAAAGCCCGGGGAAACTTTCCCTTGAGAACACGAGAAATGCTAGAAAATCACACCTCGTAAGGCGAAGATTTCATGTTTTTCTATTGACATTCAAACATCGCGTTTTAAAACCCTAGAAAAGATAAAGAGTCCCATTTGACTGACATAATTTGGAATGGAGTTTGGCAAAGATGTTAGGGCCTGTTTACATGGAGGTGGGGGACCCCAGGTAGGTGAGGTAACCCGCCTAGCCGTGGTCGAAAAATAAAACGCGTTTACATGCAATCTTACAACCCCGGGGTGCTGGGGTGTTGTTGCGCTTGCAGTTAGGGAGTTTGAGCGCAGGCGTCCTAAGCTCACATCTCCAAAAAGACGAAAGATTAATTCTCGGACACATAGGTATTTATTCACGAAAGCGTCACGCGTTGCGTTACGCGGTGTTTGGTTTCGCGAGGAACCGTTGACTTAATAAGTGATATGGAATAGTTTGAGAAACCAAATATGGTCGATTTGCAACGCTAAATATTCCGAAATGTGAACATTTTACACTCCTTGTGTGTCCGTTGCGGTTTCTGGTGAATTCTGCCGTGAGACGGCTAGGAAATGTACAAAGTTTTAACACGTACATGTTTCGCTTTTGAGCTTCTTGTCATGAACGCGACCCCGGCTAGGTGGGTTACCCCACCTTGACACGTTTACATAGCAAATTGTCACCCCGGCTGACCGGGTTACCCTACCTGGCAGAACGGGCAACCCGCCTTGGCGGATCACCCCACCTTTACAATTTGCCATGTAAACGTGTCAAGGTGGGGTAACCCGCCTAGCCGGGGTCGCGTTCACGGCAAAACTCAGTCTCACGGCAGAAATCACCAGAAACCGCAACGGACACACAAGGAGTGTAAAATGTTCACATTTCGGAATATTTAGCGTAGTAAATCGACCATATTTGGTTTACCAAACTATTCCGTATAACGTATTAATTCAATGTTTACTCGCGAAACCAAACACCGCGTAACACAACGCGTGACACTTTCATGAGTAAATACATATGTGTCCAAGAGTTAATCTTTCGTCTTTTTCGAGATGTGAGCTTGGGACGCCTCTGCTCCAACTCCTTACTTGCAAGCGCTACAACAACCTCAAGAAACCTCACCCCAGCACCCCGGGGTAGTAGGATTGCATGTAAACGCGTTTTATTTTTCGACCACGGCTAGGCGGGTTACCTCCATGTAAACAGGCGCTAAACAAGCCCATTGTGATCATCACGTGGAAGATTCCCAAAGGACCTGACAAAATTGCGAGGAACCAATCAGAGTGGCGAAAAAAAATAAACACGTATTAAGCACAACAATAGCTGCCGAGCGAGTCAAAGTGACGCCAAGACTTCGAGTTGGTTACTTGAAAAAAAATGATGAGAAACAGTGGTGTGAGAAGCGAAGGTCAATTCTGTGACTTGCTGCCGTAGAGCACTTCAATATTTGTACGATAAAACGCGAACTTTGAGGTCAGAATGATTCACTGGATGATAGTGCGCCTCTGCAATAACGAAACAGCGTGGCGTAGTACAGGATTGGTGATTTTGAGACTTTTTCATTGGAATAAAGGTTAGTTACAGAAATTACACCCGTTTTAGCTTAGTTCATAATTTTTTAAAAGTCTGTGAACAGCAGTGAAATGCAAAGATAAATACAGAGCTGTTTAGAGAGGTTAGAGCTGTTTTGCGCGCGATACGACATTTTCCTTTTGGTTAAACAATTTGTTTGCATCGCTTCTGATAAAACTAAGGCTTTCACCAAAGCTTTTTTTTTAATCAATAGCCAGTGTCATCGATTTCAGTTTACGGATTTTCTTTAAATATTTAGCATTGGAGAGTTGGAGGTAGTATTCCTTTGTATTTCGCCGATAGCGGAAACTATATTTTGTAGTTTCAAATATTGATTTCAAAACACAAAGCCGTGGTCTCAAAGGCAATCCATTGTTTACGCCATTGTTTTCTTTATCCAAAAACTGTAATGTATGCGTTGCTAAATGAAGAATGGGCTGTGCGGAAAACTGTCCATCAATTTTTTGTCACTTCTATGGAACTCGGTAGCCTGATCAAACACAGGCTTAGAAACAGGATTGACCCATTAGTTATAGAGTATCGTGAACCGACATATTAAAAAATTATTTTTTATCATCTGTGATCCTTGTCATGGCAGCGTGTGCAAGGATCGATCTCATCCTTGTCGGTGGTTCCTCTTTCCAGCAAATCTTTGAAGGATTTCTTTAATGTTTACCCTTTATGAGTCAACAAATCAAAATTTTGTAATTTTTTCATTTTAATTTTTTTGATCCATGATTGTTATTTAAAACCCTGTGACTATCTGTTTATTTACTTTTTTTTTTACTGTTTTGAATTCATGAATTGACCTTATTCAATGGTGTCACATATAATTTGTCATGCAAGTATTTTGCATGTTGCATAGTATTTTTTGCAAACTTTTTGCTGCCAGTCGGTTGAGAGTCATCAGGGTGCAAAGTCAGTAGATATCAAGGTCTCATTTACTGCCTAACCCCTGTGAACATTGTAATATTTCCCCTGCATGTAACCAAGAAATGATTACATTTCTCCTAACAATATCTATCGGTCAATAAATCTTTATCTGAGGAGGGAGAAGAGGGTATCCTTTAATAGTTTGTACGACTTCCACAGGTTACAAATTAAAAGCTAAGATACAAGGTAATATTTTTTTAGTTATGTAATACTTAGACTAAAATAATAATTTAAGAAAGGGAAAAAAAATCCTATCCTTACACTGATTTTATTTAAATGTTCATAAACATGTAGTGTATTCTTAAGAATAGGGTCAAAAATGGCCTGGAGATAATCTCTATATCAGGGTAGATACAAATTATTTTAAATTTGGAACTGGAAATGGTGTACATGTAGTTGAACAGCAAGTGGACATGATTGCATGACTTTCTCTTGAGCCCACTAGATCTCAATTTGACTTCATCACTTCGTGATTTTTTTTTAGCTTGTTTCGCAATTCATGGTTTTACAATTGTTATGCAGTCAATGATTAGTTCAACCACATTTCTACAACTCCAGTTAAATGTCTTGACTTGTATAACTATGGATATATCAATACAGTTATCATAGATAAACATTCACAATGATTATTATTTTCTCTCCTAGTATAAGTTTGCAGAAGTCTCTAAAGAGGATATTGTTGAGGTGCAATTCAGCATCATTAAAATGATAGTTTTGCTTTTTATGGAAGACTAGTATAAAATGTACACTTTGTAATTCATTCCAGTTTTATTCAAACTCTTTGCCCCTTAACTGTGACCATTTCATACTGCAATTTGGTGGAAGAATGGCTAGGAAAAGCTGATTGATGATTGCAGAGATGATGAAGACTGAAATAATTAACATTTGCGTTTCAGATGACTAAAGCCAGGAGCCCAGTATTTACTGATGCATTGGGCTAAGGACAACAGGGAATTTTCCTACCACAGACAGTGGAAGCAATAATACTTAAAGGCAATGCATTTACATGTAGAGCACCAGTTCTTTAGTGGAATGGGATGTACAAGTCTGGCAAAAATCAGTGCACAATCATGCCACAGAGGCTGAATGTAAACCCCTCGAAAATCTGCTAGTGCACTGAGAATACTTTGGCAACCTGGGTGGAGACTTTCAAGAGGTTTAGACTTCAAAGGTTCTACTGATGATCCCATGTCTAACCCCTTTTTACAACTTCTACAAGGGTAAGTTTACTTTTTCCTTCTGCATCTGGTATTAATAATAGTAATAATAATAATAATAAGTAAAATACATCATCTTGACAAAGAATTAATTAAAAATAGAAAATAAATTAATCTGATTTACTGTAAGTTAAAAGTAGTTGTTAAGAATGCAAAATAAATTTTGGTGGTTTTGGTTGTTATGGTGGCTGTTTTGGCTGAGCATGAATTGCTGTGTGAGGAAGATTGTCATCCTCATCACCATTGTGGGCACAGCTTGCCTTTTAAGGAGTTGATCCACATGCTTACAGCTGTATGGTTTACTTCTTTATTGTTATACTTTGCTTTATATCAAAGTGGGTCAGGTTTAATTTCTTTGAGTACCTCCTTCCACTCGACCCTAGATTTACGTTCTTTGAAGGAACACTTTCCCTTCCTTTAGATTTTTGCTTTTTATTTGGGGTATGATGTGACAACTGCTGGGTTTCCCCATGATTCTGGACCTCTGGCTAAATTAAATCCAGTGGGGTTTGTTAGAAGGTGGTTGAATGCCAACTCTGGTGGTGTAATTACTATTTTTGTTTGAGGCGTTGATAGGTATGTTTATAGGAATCTCTGCTGTGCTTAATTGTTCCTCCAAATCCTTCAAACTTCTTCATCTCTACTTTCCAAAAATACTGACAGGCCTCTCTACCAAGTCATCAGACCACAGATATGTAGGGGCTGTTTTCTCCTGTAAAATTCTATTCCTGGTCTTAAATTCAGTGAATCATTCACTGACAAATCTAAACTGAATGAATAATTACTTTATCTTATTGTCTGTGAGTAAACAACTAGCTGAAGGAAAAACATCCTTCCACTAATAGGGGACACTAAAGAAAGTAGATAGATTTAAAACGTGTATACATATATATAGTTCAAAATAAGTAAAATGAAACACGCATGATTCTCTGTTACTCTGAGTTTCGTGCTTACGCACTCGTCAGACAGATTTAATGAAAAACATTCTTGTAGGCTGATTTACATATATAAAAATGGTAACTGCTGATTACAATAGGTTTTTGTAATATAATAGGTGAGGAAAAGCGAAAATTACAATGGATATGGGTGTATTAATGAAGGACAATGGGGCAGTAGGTGTGAATATATTGACGAAAGTCTATTGTAGCAAGGAGGCGTCAGATGTTCTTTAGATAAAACTTGTTTTCGTGACGGCATTTAGATATAAGTTCGGATCTTTTATTCAGCAAGTTGTTGCCGTTGGACTTAATAATCATGAGTTTTTCGGTCAGGCAAAGGTCGCATCTTTTCGTCGTGTTGTTGTAGGGCCTGGCTCTTGCAATAATGAACCATTTTATGTTGAAGTTTACAGAGTTGTCCTTCAGTTGCCAGATGTATTTGGATAGTTCAGTGCTGTTAGTGTATTTTCTGTGTCGGAATGTAACCTTGTGTTGATTAAATCTTTGTTTAAAAGTTCCTTCGGTCAGTCCAATGTAGTTTTTAGGGGTCGTTTTGTTGTCTGTAGTGGTGATTTGTGTGTTGTAGATAATGCTGGAAGACAGGCAATTGTTGTTGAGCGGGCACTGTTGTTTAGATCTGCAGTTGCAAAGGCTTTCGTTGTTGTCTTGGTTGTTGTTGTTAGATAGTACTTTCTTATTGTGTTTGTTAATGATCGATCCCATGTTCTCCATACAATTGTAGCTGACCTTTACGTTGTTCTTGTTGAATAAACTATGGTATTTGTGATGTTTTGGAAAATGCTTCGATGCCAGTCTAAGAAATGTTTTGCCGATGTTTGTTTGTACGTTGTTGCTAAAAGGAGAGCAAGGCGTGAAATTGCGCCTAATACAGGCGCCAATGCGACTAAATTTTTCACTTTGGCGACCAAATCCTGAAAGTTAGTCGCCAAATTGACGACTAGAACGTTTCATAGTGAATTAAAAAGATTTGCAAAGATAAATCCGCGGCAAACTTCCTCGTTAAGTTTGTTTCCAAAACGTAGCACATGCATCTCGATCGATAACTAGACGCCATCTTGGATTTAGATGATCCTGAACGTTGTATATCATCCATCCTAAGTGTCCACTTTGTAGCACGTTAAAGATCTTTTCCCAGCGTAAAGAGAGATTTTGTTTGTCTTTGAAAATGGCGACCAACGAGAGGAAAAAAGGACGCAACTACATTTCCCGACAAGCCTGTTTCGTGAATCGCTTCACTCTTCAGGGGTTTAATGAATTCATTAAGCGATTCACGAAACAGGCTTGTCGGGAAATGTAGTTGCGTCCTTTTTTCCTCTCATAATATTTATTCTGCTCTGCTTCAACGTATTGAGCACTGTTCCACGCGAAAATCGATTTGCAAACTTCCTATAAATAAATATATATATATATATATATATATATATATATATATTTAACTGCACATAAACATATGTGTGTGTGTATATATATATATATATATATATATATACACATATATATATATACATATGTAACAAGAAAAATATAAAGAAAAGAAAAACTAAATACATAAAACAATCAAACTAAAAAAATTAATTGTAATGAAATTATATTCATATAGATATTGACCAAATACAATTGCTAAGGCGGCAACTGCAACTTTGGTTTTGCTAAGAATCCACCTAAGTCATGTAAATGAAAATTTTTGACTGAAATGTCTCTTGAGACATTTTCCTTTTTTAGCTGGTTATGAAGTGCTTCCTTTTTAGTCACAGTAAGAAGCCCATTTGTGGCAAAGTCTTGAAGAGATATTCCATACTAGCTGTGACACCGATGCGGGTCGTTGGAAAGACTCCAATTCACTTGCTCTAGGTGTCAATTAAGATCTGTAGTAACTGCCCTAAAAATGCTTTAGTATGGTCTTTATGTTCGTGAGACCAAGGCTTTTCCGGCCGTTTTCAGTGAAGGAGGGGTGGAGCTGATGATGCTGCAGTGGCTAACGAATATTACTGGACTTCACCTTTGCCTCAATATCTGTGGCCAACCCAGATCACCACAGGAAAAAAAGTCACGTAAGGTCACACAGTATGCCTGCAACGAATGAACTTAACATCTCACCATGAAGGTAAACGTACATGCGCAAATCATGGATACAAACTTTATATTGGACATACCTTCAGAGTTTTACGAGTGTGTGCTGAAGGCGAATTGTATAATGCAGCATCATGCAGACACAACTGAAGTAATATGTATGGTCTGCTGCGGGAAATCAGCCGTTCCATAATCTGACACTTTACCTCGCCTTTAGTTAACTTTATACCACAAGAGAACGTTGACACTCACACTTTATTCGTTTCACCACAAATTTTAAGAATTAGTTGACCCGCACTTAGTAGATTCGCGGGTCGATCCATTGCCAAGGATCTATTTAATTATTTCATTAGTCAATAAGTTAAAGAAAAAAGTACTAAATATTAAGGAAATTAAAAGAACAACTGATAAAAATGAGTAAATAAAAAGGTAGAGTACAATAAGGTATCTATAAAAGAGCGGTTGGAAACACATAACACTGTTTTGAGGTTACACAACTGAAACCACAATTAATTATATAGTGGATTTTCAGCCTCTTTATTGCTGTGGTTGCCCTCGGACATGTGCCAGCTGTTTTCCCATCTCCTTAAACTTTCTCCTTATCGATTGGGTGCGACACTATGTATTGAGGAAGACTTCAGTTTGTCGATGGTAATAACTGACGTTTCGACAGCTTTAGGGAAAGTCATCATCAGCTCTCTTCATGATATTCTTTTTCCCTCAGCAGTTTGGCCGTTTCCATTTAATTATCTCGCAGTTGGCTCGGGATTGTATCAGCTATTGCTCAAATTTTTCCAGGTTTTCATTTTTCTCCATTAGTTGTTTTGCCAGATTACCTTTTTCATAAATCGATTCGTACTCTCCAAAACGTATTCGCTTTCATCAAAATCACACAGGATTGAAATATTAAACCGATCTTGTCACACGTGGTGAGAAATCATATGATATTTCTGTCAATAATTCTTACAACCTTCACTGCAAATTAGTTTTTTCTTCTGATGTTAAGGGAGTTCACTGACAACTTAGGTGAGGTCGCCGACCACCTAGCTGAGTACCAGTTTACTCACGAGTGAGACAAGTTTGCCAAAAAGATAATTACGTTGGCAGAATGAAATAAATAAAATGAAGCTTCTGTGAAAGAAAGGCCTCTCAATTTCCCTTAACAGTCTATTCGGTTTCCTAGCTGACAGAATGTTTCCATTTCTCATTTCCTCTCCCTGAAAACTGGACTCGTTCATTCTCTTCTTTAAAAGTGAATTTTTGTGAGGATGACTTTCCAGGAAGAAGCGGACCGAGCGTAACGGCTGCCGCTGGAGTTGGGTCTATCTTTTCATTTGCGGACTCACCAGAGCCCTATGTGTGAAGCCAGCCGCTTAATTTACTTCTTTAAAAAAATTTGCTCAACAACAGGAGCTTGAGGACAAGCTAGAAAAGGTATCTCAATTGTATTTGTAATGGAATTAAGGCTAGCTGGCGTAATAAACTACATTTCATCGTTGTTCCCAGTGTTCAACGTAAGTTGTAGTTTGTCGTAGCAGACCTTGTGTCTTTGCGAGATGAAAATTGCATATCTTATGTTAAGCAGTGTGACGCTTGCGACGAAAGACGAAACTTCGAGGGGTGTCGCTAAGGCGTGTTTTCTAAGTGTCGCTAATGTCGGGACTATTTTACAGGTCGTAGTAAAACCACGAAAACCAAGATGACGGTTAACGGTGTTTATTCAGATCACGAGGACAAAGACGAAGACGATCACAAAGACGATCACGATCGTAAACTGAAATTACAATAATATTATGACGAATGCATGAATCTACTTGAATTGGTGCGAAAGGCATGAAAGAAACGCTTTACGTACCTATGTCGATAACGCGATTAAAATAACAACAATTAATGTAAATTAACATAAACAAATCATAAAAGGCTAAATTAAAACTACTCGAGATTCAAAGATCGGCTACACGATAAACATTTGCGGCTGATTAACAGCCCAAAGACTAAAATGTGGGCGTTGCTGTCTGGGTTCTTTCAAATTACTCTTTTGATTTCGGGGTATTAGTTGTACTATTGTACAACACAGTACAAATGTGCACTATCGCCCAAGGTGAAAAACTAAACTCAAACACATTGAAATAAAACTAAAAAAATTACTTACATATCGGTCCCGCTTGTGCCAAAGGTTTAGAACGAAAGAACGAAGGTACTGTTATTCAAGGTGAAATCTTGCGAATCTCTGGCTTAAAGGGACGCTAACTTAGCTTTTATATGCGCGTGGTGACGCTAAAAGATCCGATTACAAACCAATAGGAAAAAGATAAACATTGTAACTACGATCGTAACTAGGCACACAAAGTAATTGATAATTGATCTAATCAAAAAACTGTTCTTTGGTTCGATATCCTTAACAAGCAGTAAACGTTACAAAGAAGTAAAGAGGTAAAAGTAGCGAAAAATGTTTAAAAAATTCTTAACTTGCAACGATACCTTGTATTCAAAATAAGTACAATCAAACAAGAATCGTTACAGTCTGTATTAACTCTGGGGAAATGACATGATTTGTTTCCACAATTATTTTCATATTTTATATAGTTCCTTCGGGTCTAGGTTCTGTTTCTTTCCAAAAATATTGGGCTCTTTACTCTATGAACTCTCACCAGGCTTTCGACACTTTTGATCCTAGCGGGATGCGGGATGCCTGTCACATGATCCTTAAGTTATGGATTGTCACATCTTAGTTTCCTTGAAATGGCTTAGCTTGTTCACCGTAGAGCCTCAGTGGTTGAGCATCGGAACGTGCTTCCTCTTTGGGGCTCAGAATTTTCGCTTTTTCCACGCTCGTGATCTAACGAAAGAACACCTTTCTTTTGTTTTGTTGCTATTCAAGGTCATACACTCTTCCTACTGTATTTTTGTTGAACGAAAATATTTTAGCAAAAAGTATTATATAGAGGACCAAAAGTTCAACGTTCCTATAGTGGACCCGATAAGATCCTCTTTAAAACTGGTTGTTCTAGTTCGCTGTTCTTGGTCTCGCCTTCTCACCTTGATCTCGCGGCAACCATGCGAACGAGACCCCGAAATACCAGGTCCGTCAACATGGAGGCATCTTCTAAGGATCTGGTTCAAATGCATACCTCGAAAAGGAGGATACCAAAACTGTACACATCAACCTTAAAAAGAAGATATGATGAAAATGAACTTTTTTGAAAACAAAAGCTCTTCCATGAAGTCTTTTTTCAGTTGCGAAAAGCTTTCGACTTTGCTAACCCCGAGTGTCATGGTCTGCATTAGTGCGAATGCAAAATGTAAACACAAAATTTGTTTAAGAAATACCCTCTCGGTCTGATTATTTGTGAATGCCTCTGATGCGCTTTAAATTCTTGCACCTGGACCAACTGTCATATTCTGTGGGTGTAGTTTGCTGTTCCATAATCGACAATTTTGCTCTTCAGTGATTTGCTTCTCGCCACAGCAACACGTTACTACCACTTACATCTCGATGAATAATCGGATACGAGTCCTTCTAAAAATCAGATAATTAAGTGCTTGAACCACATCCAAAGAGATGGAGATTTCTTCACTTGTTGGAAGTGATCTTTTATCCAACAGTACCCGCAGAGTTGATGCCATTAACTCAGTGATTAGAGAGGACTTCTCTCATCAATGGTCGCTCCAATGAACTGGAGGAGACACGGATTTTGGCATTTCGCGGCGATATCAATCTCTCGTTTGAACAGTCCCCTTCCATAAAGTGAAAGAGTCCACCCATTAATCCTTTTTACGGTGTCATTACCACGACAATACGTGCCTTGAAAGACACTTTCTTAGCCTCCCCTATCTTATATTTGTACGCCAGCCGCACTTGACGGCGAGAGATTTCCCTGTTACGGTATAATCTAACCGACAGAAAAACACTACAATCTTACAAACTCAACTACTTTATTAAAGAGCGAGTAATGTTCTTAACATGGAGCGACTCCTAAAAACAGTACAATGCTTATCGTTAATTAGCTTAATTAAGCCCACCACAGTTTATATCCTAGCTCACCACTGACACAATCTCACTGCTCTCTCCAAAGTTCCTTGAAATGAGCAATCTTCCGCAGGTATTCTCTCTCGGTATAGTTTTCAAAACAGTCGTCAATCCGATAACGACAACTACCCCTACTACAACACAAGTGAGTCTTTACATGTATTCACAAAGTGTTCTGGAACATTCCAGAAGCTTGCATAAGAACTATTCTAGAAGTATTACATAATAAATGCATGACTTGATTAAATGTTATGGAAAGTTCTATGGTATGCAAGTCAGCATGACTCAGCAGTCTGGAGATTTCTAAAAGCTTATATTTTTACAATAATTACTCATAACAACCCAATCGGGCGTCTCGGTTTGTGGACTTCCAGTTAATGCTTGCCGAGCTGTCAGGAAAGACGAGTATAGTTTGTTTATTTCTCGTTTTTTTCCTAGTCCCAATTTTTCCCTCGTGTCCAACAATTTGATTCCGGAAATATTCCGTTGTATGCTAGTTCCCCATTCTTCTTTGGCGAAGCCATGTTGTTTCCGTTCTCCTTCTTGTTTTGAAATGGAGAATTCCACCTTATGATACCTGATTCTTTAGCAGAGAGAATTGTCTTCGAAAGTGAGAAATTTATTTGCAAGAAGCTTAAAAATCTTACGAATAAAATGAGTGAAATTAAGAAGTTCAACTTAAGGTGAGCAAGTATTGTATACTAAAGTAGTATATCATTGTAATGATATTAGACCATATTATGTCTTCTTATAACAAATCAAGAGCTTAATGGACGTATGATCTTTTTATAGAATAATACAACCAGGTTTGAATATTTTGATGAGGTGATTTATGCTAGATCACCTGAGAGTATTCGAGAAAATCCTGTTTCTCTGAAACTTTCCTTCTGAAGAAGGGAAAGCAAAGGGATTTGCAGGGTATTGAGTTTCCTCCCGTTGTTGTTCCTCCCTGTGCATCGCACGTGATGTGTTCTTAGACTTGTTACTCTGTTCTCTTTGAAACTCTTTTTCGTTGTTTTCCACACTTTCTGTTTTTCTTACGCATTTCTTTCTTTTATCTCTTTAATATCTCGCCTAAATTCAAGTATTCTCTTAACTATCTTTTCTTCTAAAGGAAAGTGTGATGATCTTGATAACTGTAGAAAAATCTGCTTCTGCGAGAATTCTGTTTTACGATAATTACAATGTTGAGAAACCTTATCAAGACTTCCCTGTAAGATATGATCAGATTTCAAGTCAATGGGTCATCCTAAAGAACAATTTCAGCAGTGAAAGTATTTTGAATTCTATCTTGAAATGAATTTCCTACCTCTCATTAGTACAAATTATATATTACCTGCTCATCAGAATTCATTCGATGTGAAAATTACTTTTTAGGTAACGCTGCCCTAAGCTTCTTTGTTCAACTCATGGTAAAAGGTTGGGAGTCAAAATGGCGGGTTGCTGCTTTTGCTTGGTGACCATTACATTTAATTTCAAATTAAAATGAAAACGCATAACAAGATGTTATCTACGGCATATTGCTCTCTTACCCTTTTAAGTCAAGTACTCAAAGTCAAGGAAAAATGTGTAAAATTGATATGGGTTAATTTCCTAGATCGTACTATTACAATCTGCAACAGAGCAGTTGTTGTACATCAATTAATATATTTAATAGCATGTCAGTTGCAACCCCTAGTCCTTTCCTATGATCCCTTCTCTAGCTGAGCAATCCAGTACCTCTCTGTTCAGAAATATAATTGAAAGGGGATGGGGAATGTTCAATTATGAATCATACAACAAGAGCTTAATTTTGTTGCAAATTGAAGCCTTCAAGTACATAATTCGGCCCATGTTCAGTCGTAATTTATCCTAACCTCGAGCTCTGTAACTGAAATTAAATTTGTCAGTCCTGCAATCAGTACAGTATGAACAGGGTTCAATGAAGGTTAAGTCCGATCAAGCAGGATTCAGTTTCTTGGACCTCATCTTATTGATACAATCTTCCGTCGATCGCTTGACACTGAATTATTGTACCAAGAACCCACCTGATACTCCCAATATTCCTATTATGAAATTATTGTACCAAGAACCCACCTGATACTCCCAATATTCCTATTATGAATTATTGTACCAAGAACCTACCTGACACTCCCAATATTCCTATTATATCACTCCATATGAACCCAGATTTGAGTGCCCTCCCAAAGTACAAGTTAACCTTGGAGCGGAAGGCAGTATTGGCCGCTGAAATCTTCTTCCTCATATGAGATCGAAACAAGGCAACGACAAACTAATATTCGGCGCACTTTTTCGGAAGCCGTTAAAAACGTTGATTGAGCCCGCGCAACCCAAATCGGATATAGGGCGGTTATCAAGCGCTCAACATCGATCCTGTTTCTCCTTCGAGCTAGCACAACAGATTCGAGTGACAGAAACTTAAGGATTACGTTGGTACTGTTCAAACCTCCAGATAAGTCTTTCGCTTCCAAAGTTATTAATTTGGGTGTTGTGAATGTTCGCACGAAAATTTAATGTAAATTATCGCGGCTACGACATCATTTTTCGTTTCCTAAGGGAATCGTTCATTTTAATTGGTCCTATACCCTTGTGATACCCACTTTGAGGATCTTGGCTTATTTGTATCAATATAGAAATCATTGATATTTATAAAAATATTGCTTAATGAAAATTTGTTAAACTATACAGTGAGTGTATAAAATTCATAGAGCCTAAATGGAAGGAAATATGAAAATATTACATAATGAAAGAGCTAAAAAATAATGATACCGTGGAACATAGGCATGACGCATCAACGTCCAATATCTGTGCAAAATATTTTTCATTTCCAAGTGCACCGCAGCGTCAAGATATTGAATTACTCGATATTAATTGAATCTACCTCGCATAGATTTTGCATTCAAGGTAGTGCTAATTTTTCACCTTCCAGCTTGCAGCTCAAACCTTGATTGCAAAGTAAGGGATTGTTCGAATCAATAAGAAACAAATCATGTCCTTTTTGTCATTAACTTTTCTGAAATGGGGTCTCGCGAAGTATTGGGCTTTCGTCAAAACGACCTCAGATGTCACCAGCACAAGGTCTGGATCTGGTAGTTATTTTTGTTTGGGTGTTGTTTGGTAAATAAGCTAAATATGAACCTTCACAAACTTAATAAGACAGGTATTTACTTCACAGATTAGTCAGGCAAAAAAATTATTGAACAATGTACGCAGAATATGATTATGCATTTCCTTAAACAAGAAGATCCTGTTTTCTGTCCTAAATACAGGTACACGTCAAGTATTATTTCCTCCCTGGCAATATCGAAGTCAACATTATTTTAGTGTCATCATACTTCAAGTACAATTTACCTCATGCGCTGAACCCGGTGCGTAGTCAACTTCTGAGTCCTTACTGTTGCATTCACCCTCTACAGTGTGATTGTGCGTATTTTTGCCACCATTAAAGGTCCCGTCTTTCTCAATGGTTGACGCCTTGCAAGCATTTTCATTTATTCGTGCAGAGCAAAGCCGGTAGGTCGTTTTTTTCCGCTTGCGTTGCACGTGGTAGGTAAATCCCTGGCTGTCTTGTAGTCTGCTATTTCCCGTTTTTCTTCATTGCTGAATACACTGAAAGTGATGGGCTCTCGATAAGAATCATTTATTACTGAAATGAGAGATGAATTTTAAAAAATGGTCGATGATTTCGATCCTCATAGCTCTCTTAAAACGGGAATATGACACCAGCCCATCATTGGCTGCCATACTGTTGTTACATCATTGGCTGTATGTTAAACGGTTGTTTTACTTCGAGATTGCTTTACCGTTTTAATCAGCAAATAATTCCCAGTGGATCCCAAGATATAATTTTCGAGTCTAGGGTTCCCAAGGCAATGAAGACTCCTTGTAATCGTGCAGTGAGTCCGTCCGTGAACATTCCCATCATTCGCATCATTCGCAGTGGCCCTACGCTTGCAAACTTGTTAGAGTAATTTATTTGGGAAAATGGTTGGAGGAAAATTTCCGAGTTGTTTTTATGACCCAAAATTCACTCCTTTCATCCATCATTCAATCACTCTTGTTTCCACTTCTGCTAACTATTTGGTTAGCCTGCTAACGTAAAAGACTTTCGCATGTTCAATTGAATATATGGGGCTCAACTGATTAAAATACTTTCCTATTTATAAGCCTTGTTTTCAAACATTGTTGATCCGGAATTTGAACACTCGATCGCCAGAAAACACAATATCGATGAACTGTATTCTAAAAAGATTGAAATCTACCTTTTTTCTAAAGCGGAAAAAGAAAAAATACGCTGAGTGTTTCGAATGCCGATTTCTGATGAGAGAAGGTGACGTTCCGCATGAAAAGAACGGGGAGAAGTAAGTGGATAAAAGGTTTAGATATGAAGTCGGTGTTTCACCCCTTCATAATTCATTTCCGAGTTCAGTGGCCCACGGCAACTTTGAATTTCAACTCGCTGAATTCACCTCGTACCTTTTGAGATGTCTCCTTGAAAGACACTGGCATACTTATACTAGGGGAAAATACTTATGATATACAATATTGTTTCTAAAAAGGAATGAGTGAGTGATATGCAGTGATTGCATAACACTCATGAAGAGTTTTAAGTAAACTTTCTATTACCTTCAGTTTACCCTTTCACTCCAAAGATCTTAATATAAAATATCCGGCCATAATACATATTTGTCATAAATTTCTTCGATGATATGTTGTTAAACAATATCTTCTTGTGGATAATTTTTCGGAAAGATTTCCTCAGAACCCCATACTGCTCTGAAACAAAGCCTTAGCTTCAATAGAAGTGTATTGTTTTCTCCATTACTTGCCAAGAACTTATGCTTAGATAGTAAGTCGGCCATGCAAAATTTATGCCGACACAACCTGCTCTGGTTTCTATTTATGAAAGCTCTCTTGCAAACAAAGCTCGACTGTGGGCATAGAAAGCGACCAAAGTATCGACATGTATATAAATTTTATACTTCTATACATTTCCAACAGGAGAAGGAGACATAACTTACTTTGAAGTTTAATTTTTGAGGGAGCAAAACAGGGGTGCGGCCGTAGGAAAGTATATGTGACGAAATCCTTACATTTGATGCATCTATATGTATGCTCGAAACATTTCAGTACTGGAGGATATTCTGGAATAATAATTTTTTGTACTAGGATATATTTTTTTGTGTTAGAAGATACTTTGTAGTGTCCTTTACGAAAGAATAGTTCATAATAATATTTTATTCAACTACATATATGCTTATAAACATGATATATTTTAAAAGGAGGACCGTGAGGCTGTTCTTATAAGAGGTCCCCTAACTGAACTTTAAAACTATCAAAAAATTATAAAAAACGCGCGTAAAAATCATTAGTGCGGGTACAACATGGTATAGTAAGAATGATGTTTAAAATGAAAATATGTACAATTAAAATATGAGCTTCTGTGTCAATAAATCATCATCCATCTTTTTAAGCCTTTTTTAAATTTGTTAACGTTAATTTCGTCAGTGAAGAGATGGTTTGGCAAACTGTTCCAGTCTTTGACGATTCTCACGAAGAAGGAGTACATGCACATGTCACAAAGGAAACATTTTATTAGACGCGGAAAGAGACTGCGCACTGTTTCCAAGAATCATTGAAGTACAGTTGAACCCCGATGACTCGAACCCTCGTTAACTCGAATTCCCCGCAAATTCGGAGCAAAACTGATTTCCCTTACATTTTCCGTATATATTTACAGTAATTTTAACCCCTATAACTCGAAACCCTTTAACATTTTGCATCGAAAGATTACCTTTAATCTTATTTATATGTTATGATAAATTGACCTTTGTCGATATCACACGTTTGTATGTCCGTAACAAAACAGTTTTGACAGCTCTTACCAGCAAAGAGAAATAATGCCACGTACTCTGGAATCGATCAATTGTTTTTGATCTTTTTGTTCAAACCTCTCTAACTCGAAACCCTGATTACACGAAGTAATTTCAATTTCCCTTGGCAATTCGAGTTTCCGGGGTTCAACTGTAGTGTTGAGTGTGGGCAGTATATGTCAGGTCTTTGTCAGTAGATATTGACCCTCATTTGCATGAGGTGTGCTATTGATATCTGTACATTAAAGAGCCAGAACCAAAGAAATAAAAGTAATGTTTCTATTTCCCTAGCTTGCTTTGCTACTTTCTTACTTTTAGCGAAATGACCGCTAATTCCAAAGGAGTTCTTTGACACGAAACTCGTCAGGGAGTTCGATATTGAGTTTCATTGGTCGCCAGCATGACCGCATTCTTTAATGAGGTGCGAAAATTGTAATTTAAAATGTAAAATCTCGTGATATCTGTTTTAGTCTGAAAATAGATATACATGCACGGGTGTAATTTTTCTTTTCTTTTCACTCTCACCGTCGTTGATAGAGATAGAAAAATATTAAAGGTGGAGTTTTTCAATAGTGAACTAGAAATATATCGATTCAATTGAAATTCAGCATTTTGCATTATTTTTTGTTGTTTTGTAACCCAGAAAAGTTCCTTGTTTTTTTCCGATGATATTTACTTTGGAGTTTCTAAACCTTGTATTGTCAAGGCTGTTCATTTCATATCACATTTAATAAATATTAGAGTAAATATCAGACTGAATATTCCAGGATACCTTATCATGACGTAGCATGGCCTACTTTGGCTCTCCAAACAAATATTACTTGCGTCTTCTGTTGTTAAATTTTCTGTAAATCACCGTGACTCAATTTCACCCTTTTTACATAGCTTTTATTCTTTAACCTCCAGCTATGCCGTCTGTGGTATGGCAGACGATGAACAGGCGTAGAAAACAAAAGTGAAATAAAAAGTAAAGCTTAATATATTTAATCACACCGGAATATATTTTTACTTCTTTTTACTATTTCTATATTGTTCCGTTTAGACAATATTGATCTCATTAATTTACTATATACCTCTCTAATCAAGGTCACCAATTCATGATTAGTAACAAGGAACAAAAATACTAGAATGGAACTGTCAAATATCACGTTTATGAGGTAAATCATCGCTTATTTTGATACTCCCGGTTATCGGTATCCACTAAAATTAGATTTAAACTACTCAATCAACGCCCACTGTAATACTCTCGATTATGTATATAAACATCCCTGATTTCCTGAACTTCATTGAGTTACCCCTAGTACGAAGACGAAGCTTAACTACTAAGTGGAGACCAAAATCGACCTCGGTAAGTCGTGTTTGATTTTGCTATAAAGTGATCAGAATTTTGTCTTCGTTATCAGCTATGCTCTTTCCATTTTTCATGCGGGTGTGTTCAGATGCTGAGGAGATTTAATGCGTGGTTTAGAATAATCCACCGAAAACCAGAAACTAATACCCCATTCACACCAAAGCTTAAACATGTCTTAAAGTTTCTTCGTTAAACACGGTTAAATGTTGTTTTTTCTTCGTAGAAGCTGCTTAATTCGATGTAGTTCATTGAAAAATTAATTTAACGTTTGCTTGAATCCTTTTAGAAATTTATTTTTTCTCCCTTCAGTTTCTGATTTTCAATTAGTTGAACCCAGGTTAACTAAACACGTTTTGCTGGTGTGAAAGGTGAATAAGTGTATTAGAGTTGTCATTTCTAAACCACGATTGTAGCTATGAGAGTTGCCTGTATTGCATTAGGAGTTACTTATGGACTTTACTTATATCTTTCCTTTCTTCACTTTTGCTACTTTGTGGAAAAATAGAACAAGCTGTGATAGTCTTTCATTGCATCAAAGGGCAAAAAATTATCTTGATTACAGATCTAATATCTGATCGTAATCCAGTGAGCCGATTCCTTCTATTTCACTAAACTTTGTACGTGGATGGATGTGTTTTACGGAAATATTTCTTTTATCTCATGTCACAGCTGTTGCAAGATACATATATTTTGCTCAAGTTTTAAATGTATTTCCATTTAAAGGTGATCACTAAATCTGAATTTACCTCGAGAGAGTGGATCTTGGGAACTAAAGTCTAAGAAATTTGTTCAAACAGTCAGAAACACTTGCTCCACAAAGGAGTCACTTTTTTTTAAAATAAAATTAAGTTTGCTGATGTTCTGTTGTTAGACAGGCAGATTAAAAAAAAAAAACGTTTTAACCCTTTTGTCTAATCTAATTATTTATCTAAATCTGTCGATCCGTACGAAAACATTTTAAACAATCATAATAAATCAAAATTTTCTTTGAAGGTATGTTGCTGTTGCTGCTGTTGTTATCGGTCCTTGGTGTGACAATGGGCACAAAATGCGAGGAACGTGAGTACCAAAACAGTTTATAAACAAACTTTCAGCTTTTGTCGTACATCAACGTGAATTGCAAACCCTGACATTCGATAGCGTGTGTTATATTCTTAAAGAGTCGCACGTGTTTCATCCCCTGTTTTTACTTCGGTTCGTGGCTCTGGAGAACCGAAAGAAAAAAAGAGAGAAGAAAAAAAAGAAAAACCAAGACGGACTCTACTGAAAACGTTTTTTCCTTGACGAGATACATCGTGTCTCTTCACTTGTTATTGACGTTTACTCATCAGAAATGATAATAATAATAATAATAATAATAATAATAATCGTTAAATGATAAACTAAGTTCTTTTCCCTTCTTATTTCTTACAGTGGAAGATGGTGAATTTTTCAGCTACGGAGAAACTACTTCGGAAGGTATTCCTTCTTTTTCAAGACTGACATTAATTTTGGAGCATGCAGTTTAGAATATACTTCAGGAAATTTAACATGACATACTTCCAATCAGAAGAGATACTACTTCATCAAGGGTTACCCGCCCCCACCTCCCCTTCCCCATTTGTTCAGTTTTCCGTGGCGGTTTTTCAACTACTCGTTTTTATTCTTAGGGGGGGGGGGTTAGAGTGATTATGTTACTCTAGAAAGAGCCTTAAAATGTATTCAACACAAAAAATATTAATCATTTGTAACAGCGGAGACAAAAATTGAGGCATCTCTGTAAAGTTCTTTATTTTATCTTAGCTCCTGGTCCGTCAGATTGGTATAAAAAATGGGAGCAATGTGATGGCAGGCGGCAATCTCCGATCAACATCGTCACGACTCGGGTGAGGCGCAGACATTTCCGAACTTTGAAAATAGAATTCGACAGACTGGGAGGCCTGGTCACTGGGGAACTAAAAAACAACGGAAACGCTCCCACTTTTTTCGTAGACAAGGACAAAGGAACAGCGAAACTAAAAGGGAATCACCTCAAGGGCACTTACAAATTGGATCAGTTCCACGTGCACTTCGGGTGTAAAAACAACCGAGGATCTGAACACACTCGTAATGGCCACCGTTTTGCTGCCGAGGTAATTAGATGCAACTCTTGATTGTTTTCAAACAGGATTTTTTTTACCATTATTATTTTTGAGTCAATAAGCTCTATCGGCTTTGAGGCATCTTTCTCTCGGATTACGAAAAACAATTGTCCTCTGACTTGTGAGTGGGTTCAAAGAGAAAGGAGAGACAAAAATGACACTTCTTCTTTCATTTCAGTTTGTCTTAGTGCTTTTCTCAGATCCTTACTTCAATCTCACACTCATTAATAGATTAAAAGAAATTAACTCCTCAACTTCTGCTTTCCTTCCAGATTCACTTTGTATTTGTGAACTCAAAGGGACGAATTGCAGTAGTAGCCGTATGGCTCAGGGTAAACATACTGATAATAATACTTCATGTTCCCATTGGTGTTTTATTGTTTGTGTAAGTTACTATAAGTGATTTCTCGTATTCTTTTCGATCCAATAAACGCCAGCTTGGAAAATGAAAACGAGGAAGAACCGTGTGTAGGGCTTAAACTCAACTCGGTATCCACGTGGTATTTCTAAAGAGAGGGAAACACATTGTAACAGGGGAAAGTGAACAGTCAGATTTCAGTGAGCTGTTAGGTGTCTATTGATCATGAAAGAAAATCTACTTTGCCTAAGACTTTCCTAAAGTTTGCCACTTGATAAAAGACTAAATCAGCCTTCATTTCTTCCTTTATTTTCTTTAAACATTTAGCACCTTTTTTCCGAATATGAACGAAGACTTCTTTATAAAACTGATTATGCTCGTAAAATAATGTATCTTACAAGAATCGCTGAAAACCGTTAGTTGGAACCGTGTAATTCCAATGTTAAAGTAACGCTTTGTTTTTTGTCTTGCATGATGTTGTTGTCAGGCTTCCAAATATGAAAACACTATTTTGGGAAGGTTGGCAAATCAGATGCACAAGATTATCGATGTTGGTACGTGAGCTAAACTGGATAATATATTAAGCGTTTTGCGAAAGGTGTTTCACCTCCTAACTCCCAAGAGTGACCAGGACAGAATTTCTCATAACAATATTAACACAATACCGAGCAGACAAGTGTTGAGAATCAAGAAAAATATACATCAAGGGATTATTAATTGATCCAATACCAAATTTGCCGAATTTTATGGAAGACAGTAAGGAGAATTACTAAGGAGATCTTAAGAATGAAATGGTTAACTTTTAGCGAACATCAGTAGCTCTGTGAGTTTTTTTTCTTCGATTCGCTTCCATCTTAAGCAACATTTGAGAACTTTTCGACATCAAATGATGAAACACTTTGAAGGAGGGCAAAGGACACCTTTTTAATGAGAATGTCGATGAAGATATTTCCACAAACCTCGTTTATGGTAGTTCTTCTTTGAATCCGTTTAATCATCATCCATTTTGGTGTCGTGATTGTGGTTTCACCAAATGGTGATTGCTCTTAGTGTTAGAAAATATTCAAAACATCAAAAAATTAAATTGCCTTTACAGATGAGTCTACAAAAATAAGGAAGTCGGTCGGAATTCGCCTGATGCGCCTTATACCACGCAAAACTCGGAAGCACAAAACATTGGTACTGTCAAACTACTACCACTACATGGGCTCCCTAACTACCCCTCCCTGCTGCGAAAACGTGTCGTGGTTTGTCTTGAAACATAGAGTTCCTATCACGGACTATCAGGTATTTATCAAACTTTTTGAGAGGTCCAAAATTTGCTTGAGAAAGCATCATAGTAATTTTATTTTCAACAAAGCCAAGTAAGACTCAAGCAACCCTATCGATGCGAGAATTTTGATGTCAGACGGATAAAAAAAGAAACCCACAAGTCTCATTAGGGGTGGGGAGGGAGGGAAGGGTCTTGACCCCCTGACCCTCCCCACGGGATGGCTGTTGTTATCCAGCTTTAGAACCCACCCAAGTTGATACAACGGCCTCTGAGAAGAACATAAACTATGACAAGTGGACAGTGAGAGCTCAAACCAAAGCCATACTAAAGGACGGGAAAAAGAGAATGAAGAAGTCCTAGTCCCTATAAGGAATCAAACTTCAAACCTTCGGAATCAGAATTTTTTCTTTGTCCCACGTTTATCGCAAGACGAAAAACATTTCACGACAGAGCTCAAAATTTGTCACCTTTTTTAGCAAGTTGTTAATTAGTGTTGCAATTGATTTGTTGGGAGGATAGACACAGCAAATCAAAAAGAACCAATGCAATTACAAGTTACTGTCGACGCTCAATTCAAAATAGCTTGCATGCGTAGATAGGACAGGTTCATTTATTTCCTCAAATATTGTTTTGAGTTAAAAAGCCTAATATATTGCTATAAGTGAGGAAAATGATAGCATTTTGTCTGTGTTAGTTTAAGATGTATCTCAAAAAAAAGAGCTGTAGATTCACTTTCTTTCCTTGTTTCGTTTGTAGCTGTCGCAGTTCAGGGAGTTAAAAGGTCGATTCCCTAAGGACCCCCCGGACATGTGTGACAACTTCAGACCAATTCAGCCGCGGAATGGCCGCAAAGTCTATGCTGTTATCAATTAACCGGCTTGAAGAAATTGAAATGGAACATGTAAGATCATTGGTTGGCCGAGTGACAAACAAACTAATAAACTCAACAAGAAATAAACAATTGCGTCGTATTTTGGTTACATTTTACTCGAGCTTTTTCCTGAGCTGGAGATGAAAAGAAGGTTTCCTCTACTATGCCTCATCAACTACTCTTTGGCCCTCATCACCTTCTCGTTGATCACAAACACGAGTTTAAAAGCTCAGTAATTATAAAGCGTACAATAAATAAAGTGTTTTTTCTGTCATCATATCGCGTCAATGCTAAGATTCGCCATCTTTGATTTTGAGATATTTTGAAAACCTTCGAAATCCATGAAAACTGATGATATTTTGGAAAGTCAATGTGCAAGTAGTCCAGGTGAATCTTACCATTGAAGAGCAGTTGCATTTACAACATTAAAATAACGTAAAAACAAACAAACAACCAAAACAAAACAAGTCAAACAAGTACACCCGAATGAAAAGGGATTTAAAAGGCAAATATTTCTTGTCAATTATTCCGTGAAAGTCTCTGTGAAAGTTAGGACACTTTCGGTTTCACGTTCAATCCAAGCCTTTCCTAAGATTCTACTCAACCACATCCACAGTCAGCATATAGTAGCATTATTTTAAGCAGTATGGATACATATATGTTACTTACCAAGTGGGACGTCAGTACGGGAAAAATTGCGCCGTATGCCGTGGGGAAACTGCGCCGCCATACTGTGACATCACTGGATGTTTTGTGTTGGGATATGAAGTTTTCGCTGCGATAGAAATTTTTGAATAGGTGATCACAGGATTTTGAGTGCAATTTGGGATGTTTGACGAGAAAATTCTAGCGACTAACAAAATCAGAAAATCTTGAAAAAAATTCACATGTGCCTATTCATTCTAAATTGCACGAAGAAATCAAGTGGTTACATATAGATAATATTCATTAAAAAATTTCGAGACAGCCTATATAGCGACAACAGGCAAGAATCGCGTGCATGCTAAAATAATTTATCAAAATTAGTTTTGCAAATATTTTCACGCGTTTAGGCGAGACAGCGACAACACTGAAAAAGCACTGCTTTTTTTTTTTGTTTTTTAGGAAAAAATGTCGTCTTGAGGAGGATGACTGCCAACAAAATCGAGAACTACGAAATGCTTGAGCTTGATACTTTGCTCAAGAAATTTCACTCTAAACGAAAATATAGTTAACTCATGGAGATTTTTTCACCACAAATTATCAAAAAGTGTTTTGTACATCGCTTGAAAGGCACCTAAAGAGCAAAAAGAATCAGCACGGTACGTCCAAAAAGTTGTTGGATGCGGAAAGCGAAACTGCTATGCTTGGCTGCTCGTGGAAAGTGCCCAAACAACTAAAGAAGCTCTTGATCGTTTATCGAAGCCTCCTCATCAGCATACTGATGTCAGGGTGTAAAGGGTGAAGCTATTTTTGAAAGTAATCTGTAATTCCATTGTTTCAATTATTAGCTATATCTCAAGTCTTCTCAACCAATTAGTTAAAAAGCTAACAAATTACTATTAACGACTTTGTCATTCTCTTTTTCCCGCCCTTATATATGTATTTGGTTTATTTTGAATATTTCCAAGCTTAGTTTGCACCTCCGGCCGCTTCTCCCCTCCTTAACAAAAATTCTGGATCCGCCCCTGCTGTTTCATAAATATCTCACAGTCCGTCATAGGAACTCTTGGTTTCAAGATGAACCACGCCACATTTTCGCAGCAGGGAGGGGTGGTTAGGGAGCCTTTGTAGTGGTAATAGTCGGCCAATATCAAAGTTTTTCATTGCCGAATATTGTGTAGTATAAGATTCATCAGAGTAATTCCAATCGCCTTCTTTATTTCCGTTGACTGACCTGTGGAAACAATTTTAATTTCAGTATTTTCATTCAATGTAACTCAAAAGTAGAGAACTTAAAAACTAAGTTTTCCATAATTCAAGAAACGGCTACTTCCGTTTTTTCAAAGTGCAATATTAGAAGTCGAGAAAAATCGGTTTAAGTAGTAAATCGTTTTTAACAGAACAGTTTTAAAACTGGTGTGAATGGAGTATATATTTTAAACTCACGTACCAACTTCTTTAACCTTTTCCAGCTGATTCGCAAACCTTTCTAGAACCACGTTTTCTTTCGTAGTAGAATGTCGAAGAAGAAAATTAGGTAAGAACACAAACAGAGCGTTATTTGAAAAATACGGTACAAATTATTAATCTTCCTTTTCCGCCATTCCCATGCGCACACTAGAAAGACACCTTCGTTGCAGTATATTCGGAAAAGCGTTGCATAATGTAATATAAGGTGGAAATGAAAGCTGGGTACGGCCTTTACCGTACCACTGCCCTTCCTTTGAAAAACCCCAAAGATACCGAGTGAAATAAAAGCTGTGAATGCGCAATTATTCTGCTTTGTGATGTTACGGCTGGCGTAGACTGAGTCAGAAATGATTTTTTATTCCAAAGCTTTCTGTAACTTGAAGTAGTTTGCCAGGGTGACAGCCATTCCTTTCACAGCCATTAATTTGACAGTTCCTGGACTCGTGCACTCTGCAAAATATAAATATAAATCATGTGATGATCAGTATTTACCCTGAGCCAAAAGGCTACGACTACATATCGTCCACTTGGATCTTCAAAGAGAAAATGAACCTGGAAGGAAAGCAGAAGTTCTGCCGATGAGTATTGGAATTTTAACAGGGATCTAAACTGAGCATTGGGACTGAATGAAAGGCCTCTGGTCCTTTCCGCAAATCAAAACATGAATTTTTCGCGTGATTTGAGAGAAGAAGCAAAACAAAACAATCAAAAGAAATTCCCCTTTGGAAAGGAAAGGAAACGAGTGTAGCATCTTATTACCTCGCCAGAATAACGTCGGCCATTACGAGTGTGTTCAGATCCCCGTTCGTTTTCGAACCCGGAGTGCACGTGGAACCCTTTCAGTACGTACGTGTCTGTAAGCCGACCTCGCTGTTCCTTGGCTCTTATCTACAGAAAAAGTAGATAGATAGATAGACGTTTATTAAGAATACCTTAATAGCAGCTGGAAGCTGAATTACAAAGGTGTACAAATTATATAATAGAACTATACAATAAAATCAAACCTAAAAGGGAACTAATTTACATATGGGCCCATATACAATTGTAATAGATGTCAATTAAAATGTCTTGCGCTTGCTGGAATGAAAGTATCTCTGAACCGATTTGTTTTGAAGGAAACTCTAAATGGTCTGCGTCGTCGTAACTCCATAAGTTGATCTCGGTTGTCGAAAGGCAGTAAGTGGTACAAACAATCCAAGGGATTGGAGACGATGTTGTTAAAGAATTTTAAGCAAAGGTCTTCCCTCCGATCCCTTAGGGTTTTCAGCTCTGCCATCTGAAGCACTTCTCTATAATGAGTATCATAACCGTATATAATTTTCAAGGCTCTCTTTTGGACACGCTCTAAACTTAAGCTCAAATAATCGGGGAGACTATAATGGTAGACCTGACATCCATAAAGTAAGACGGATTGAATGCAAGCAACATAAAAATTCACTAATTCTGGTGATGGTACCTTGGCTCGCTTTAACTGAGTTAAAAAGTAAAGGCGCTTAGCGGCCTTTTTAATCATCTCAGTAACGTGAGTGTTCCACTTGAGGTTGTCTTGAAAATACACACCCAGTAATTTCACGACACTAACGGCGCTAACCTTAGAGCCATTAATTTCTATGAGATCGTAGGAAGGAGGGGAGCGCACGAAGGAAACTCTTAGCTCATTACATTTTTTCGGATGAAGTTGAAACGAGTTAAGTGTTGACCAGGTAGCTACTTCGTTTATCATAGACTGAGCATTGCTAGGACCACCCTTGCTTATGATTTCATACACTGTCGTGTCATCTACATATTTTATACAATCACTGGCTGATGGTACTTTCAAATCATTTATCATAACCAAGAATAGCCACGGTCCCAATTTTGTTCCCTGCGGTACTCCTGCTCGGACCGATCCCCACTCTGAGAGACAATCATGTGCAAGTTTGACCCTTTGTTTCCTATCTTTAAGAAAGGCTATTATCCAATTAATGATGTAAGGGTTGATATTGTAGGTCGAGAGTTTCGATAGCAAAAGGCTGTGATCTATCAGATCGAAGGCTTTTCTATAGTCCAACGCAAAGATCCGCACGGTGTTCCCCGTTCCGTCTGTTGCTTGCGCCCAATTGTGCATCAGGTTTATCAATGCATGCGCAGTGGAGGATCCTGGAATACACCCAAATTGATCGGGTTCCAGGCGTTTCAGAAGTGCTGGTTTCACATGTTCATGGACGACGTAGTGCTCGGCAATTTTGGACAACGTTGGTGTCAGTGAAATAGGTCTCAAATCTTTCGCCGCATCCTCAACTATCTTTGTTTTGGGAAGAGGGGTGATGTTTGCACATTTCCAAATGTCCGGTAAAGTCCCTTGGCTAATCGAGGAATTGATGATACAACGAAGAGGTTGAGCGAGCTCAGGAGCGAAGTCACGCAAGACCCAGTTTGGGATATTATCTGGGCCCCAGCTTTGGAGGAGCTGACCGTACTAAGGCATTTGAAGGTAGCTTCCAGTGAAATAATGGGAGTTTTAAAACCCTCAGTGCTCACAGTTTCGATATTATCTAAAAGTGGGTCAAACGAAGCTTGAGGTTCTAGCAGAGCTGTGTTGATTTCATTAGCCAAGATCTTAAGGTTGATTGAGGTAGCTGGTTTACTTGCTAGGAGCTGATTTGCGACACTTGTAGATGTTTTGTTCATTCCACATAACCGCCTACATTCGGACCACCACATTTTAGGATTGTTTTCGGTCAAAACGCTGACTTTAGTGTTGTAATAAGAGCGTTTGCAGAGCTTCCGTTCCCTGTTTACTTTGTTCCGGTAGTAGTGGAACAATGGTTTGTTGTCTTGGTAATATGCTCTTTGACGGTGTGCTATAAGTGCCTTGAGTTTGGGTGAAATCCATGGTGCGTCGTTTCGG